CTGGACGCACAGGCTCAGCGGCCATGGCTCACGGGCCCAGCCGCTCCGCGGCATGTGGGATCCTCCCGGACCGGGGCACGAACCCGCGTCCCCTGCATCGGCAGGCAGACTCTCAACCACTGCGCCACCAGGGAAGCCCTCGGCACATATTGTTGAATGAATCGTTAGTAGGAATTACTGCTTAGGATGGTGGTTTTCAGTTGTGGGCAGTTTTGCTTCCAGAGGCATTTGGCAAAGTTTGGAAACATTTTGGGTGGTCACCACTCGAGGAGATGGGTGCCACTGGCCAAGGAAGCTGCTAAACATCCTGTCCTGTACGGGAGCCCCCCCCACAAAGAATGGTCCAACCCAAAATGTCAGTGGTGCCAAGGTGGAGAAACCGTGACCTGGAAGAAGAGAATTAGCTACTTTAGGAAAGAAAAGTGGACCTCAGCTGTACCTGCCATGAAAGCAGTGCAGGAGAATGAGTCCCAGCCCTTCCCTCTGAGAGTGGAAGTCTACACACATCATCTCTAAATCTTACAAAGACCCCGAGAGGAGGAAGTATCCCCATTTTAAATGTGAGAAATCTGGGACTTCCCTAGTGGTGCAACGGTTAAGACTCCATGCTTCCACTGCAGGGGGCACGGGTTCGATCCCTGGTCAGGGAACTAATATCCTGCATGCCACGTGGTGTGGCCGAAATAGATAGATAGATAAATAAATAAATGTGAGTAATCTGAAGTTCAGAGAGGTTAAACAATTTGCACACCATCACACAGCTGCCAAGTGGCAGAGTCAGGCTCCCAGCCCAGGCCTGTGCTCTTCCCACATCCCCACAGTGCGGTGCCTGGACCGGCAGCACCAGCGGCAGTGGCATCACCTGGGAGCTTGTTAAACATGTAGCAGCAACACAAGCCCAGACCGGAGTCAGATCTGCATTCTGACAAGACACCGGGTGATTTGTGAACACAGTGGTTTGAGATGCATAGCATTTGAGCTACTCCCACTTTCCAAGGTTCCTACACACAAAAAAAAATCCCTGATAGACTCGCCATAATCAGGCATAATCCCTGATAGACTCGCCATAATCGTGCAGATCACGATGGGATTTATTAATAACAAGTCTTCGAAATAGAACCACCACCCCCCCCCCCAGACAGAGCCGCAGCTGGTGATGTATCAGCATTACCGGTGACATTTTCCTAGTGCTCCTGGGGACAGGCCTATAAATGTAATTGACACCAGGCAATAGAGTTTGTCACGCCTTTCACCTGGCACGTTAGGGCAAGTGCTTTTATGTCCAAACCACTTGGCCTGAAAGCTTCCTGTAAGTGGAGCCTGGAATTAATCTCGATTCACTATAATTCAAGGCATCATCAGATTTTCACTTCTCAGAGTGGAAATGCACCCTTATGGCCGTGTTTTAAGGCTTTGCTTGAGCTTCTTGTAAGCACTTGTTTGGCAGTGCTATTTTAGAATCATCAAACCATTGAGGTGTTCTGCTAGAGAATTAACCCAGGCCATTGGACTCAAATTTATTTTTTTACATATTCTAACACTTTCAGAGGATATATGGCCCCGGGAGGGGACTTGACTTGGTGGTTCAAGCCTACACGGGAAAGATTTGGTAAAACCAACAAATAGTAACGCTGTGGGCCCAGCACTTCTCAGATTCTATGCACGTGAACCACCCAGGGTTTTTTGTTTTGTTTTGTTTTTAAATTTATTTTTGACTGCATTGGGTCTTCGTTGCTGCGTGCGGGCTTTCTCTAGTTGCGGCGAGCGGGGGGCTACTCTTCGTTGCGGTGCACGGGCTTCTCATTGCGGTGGCTTCTGTTGTCGCAGAGCACGGACTCTAGGCGCACAGGCTGCAGTAGCTGTGGCTCGCGGGCTCTAGAGCGCAGGCTTAGAAGTTGTGGCGCATGGGCTTAGTTGCTCCGCGGCATGTGGGATCTTCCCGGACCAGGGCTCGAACCCGTGTCCCCTGCGTTGACAGACAGATTCTTAACCACTGCGCCACCAGGGAAGCCCCTTACCCAGGGTTTTGACGGACGCAGGTGCTGACTCAGTCCCGGGTGGGGCCTGGTGCTGCAATTTACCAGGCTCCCAGATGATGCTGGTGCAGGGACCACATTGTGGAGAGCAAGACTGTAATGTGTCATCCCTGGTTAAGAGCACAAACTTTGGGGTTGGGCAGACCTGGATTCAATCCTGGCTCTGCCACAGACCAGCCAGGTGACCTTGGACAAACGACCTAGTCTCTCTGAGCCTCAGCTTCCCCACCTGTAAAATGGTAAGTCTCCCCTCTTCATGGAGTTATTGTGAAGATGATATGAGATAATCTGAGTAAGAGGCACCGGGGAAATTTTTAGTAGATTGCAGGTATTGTCCTAATGTAGAGTTGTTTGGTTTGGGAGTATCTTCAGTTTGTACACTGTGGCCTGGGTGATTTATAAGGTCTGGTTGTCTGTCATCGTCACCTGCTAGAGGAATCACTGAGAGCCATCTCTACCTCTCTGTGTACATAAAACGGATCCTGGGAATTCCCAGGCAGTCCAGTGGTTAAGACTCGGTGCTTTCACTG